GGGAAGAAGGGAACCATGTTGTAACTTTAAAGAGGGAAGAGAGATAATGAATTTGTTTGTAACTGCTGTAAAGAAGATCAGAAGTTGCTTTGCTCTTCTCTTTTTTTTCTACCCCCACTGTCTTTTCTACTTCTTCTTTTATCTTTTATCTCTCTTTCTTAATTTCACTCTATATAATTTCATGTTTATCTTTTATTTCTGTGAAAATGTTTAACAACAAATTATATTTCAAAAAATGCCCACAAGCAGCCGCCGCCGCCTATTTAGCAAGCTCCCCCCAAATTTAATGGCATGTTCTTGCAGGTAAGCGTTCGGCAGACTGCAAACTGTCTGTACCAGCACAATATCACGTAGCTTATTTTCATACTGTCCACGTGTTTAATGGCAACTTAAGTACAATGGGATTTTGTTAGGAGAACCATAAACTCTGGAGGCCACAGGAAGGGAGCGAAGCTGGCAAGGTGGGAACGAGAAGCGGCTGGCCTCGCAGACCAGGCGCCTCCAGCAGGGGAGCAGCTCAGGACCCACGGTCTGGAGGGCGCGGAACCGGAGCCCAGCCTTTCTCCGTATACTCCGCGTATACGTTTAGACGGATCAAGTGCCGGTATGCGACCTTGGCACACTGGGTTCTCCGTTTTCGGTTTAAGCTCTTCCTTCCTGGCCATCGCAGAAATTCTTCCAGAGGCAGAGGAGTCGTCCATTACACCCCTGCTTTTCAAGGCAACCCACAGTCCACTGCAGTCCAAACAGTCAAAGGTCCTTGTATAGTCAATAAAGCAAAAGCAGCTGTCTTTTGGGAACACTCTTGTTTTCCCCATTTTCTGTCAGATGCCCCTCTGACCTCTGAATCCAGCTTGCACAACTGGCAAGGTCTCGCTCCGTATGCCGGAGATGCCTGGACCGCAGAATCTTACCCTTCTAGCGTGTCTGATGAGAGCGACTGTTTGCAGCTGGAGCGTTCTTTAGCAGTGCCCTTTTGTGCTTATAAACCAATCAATACAAATTGATCTTTTGCAGTCCGTTAGCCGCCGTTTATAAGTACTGGCTTACAAACTTCATTTACCACTTTAAATGCACCATCATCCTGCAAGGTTTTGACCAGCTCTGCTGTTATTTCATCTACTCTTGCAGTAGGTTGTCAGCAGTATTTCCTAGGACCCCCGAAGCTTCCCTGTCCAGAATGTCTGGCTCTAGAGCAAGGATCGAATGTCCACGTGGATCATCGCTTTGGTCCTTCCATGTATGCACACCTTCTCTCAATTAAACCTTAAGGCCTTCCTTTCTTTGTGTTTTGCTGTGCCCATAAGCCCTTGATTTCTGCAGATTTCTTAGATTTTTCTCTTGTCCGTCCCATTTGATTGTTCGCCTTTATTTCTTTGCATGGCTTACTTCGGGAGAACTCCTACTCTCGCCTATTCTTCTCTGGAACTCAGCGTTCACGTGGGAAGCTTGCCTCCGCCCCTGTTGCCCTTTGCTTTCTGCCCCTTGGCATCTGGCGATGCCCCCCTTGGCTTCCTCTGTCCTGACGGTGTGAGTTGCAGCCCAGCGGTCTTCAGGGACCTTGCTGAACAGACCTAACCCGTTCAGTCTATTCTTCACCTCCGCATCATCGTACAGAATGCTGCGAAGGTCAGGTCCTGCTGACCGAGTGATTTTCTTTTCTTTAGTTGAGGTGTATTTCTACAAGAAGGAGTTTGTATCTGAGCCAAAGGGAGCACCAGATCTTCTGTTTCTTGACCGAACAGAAACTCTCCATCTTTGCTTGCAGCGTAGATGGTCAGTCCGCTTTCAGTGTGGTCTGTCCAGGGGCACCAATGCACAGAATCATCGCTTAGGCAGCTGGAAGAAGGCATTTACCATAAACGCTGAATTTCCTTGGCAAAACGTGATCAGCTGTCACCAGCTTCCTTTTGTAAGCCGAGGCCAAGTTTTTCCATAATTCCAGAGGTAGCTTTACTTCCAGCCTTGGTATTCAGGCCTCCTGTCATCAGCATGACAGCTTTCCTTGGTGTTCTGCCAACCGGCTCTTGCAAGCCACCAACTTCCCAGAGCCCAACTTCCCCTTCCTCTGTGATTGGAGCACAGACTCCGACTGCCATAATCCTGGCTGGCTTCCCTGGGCGATGCCAAGATTGGTGCCCACATTTTGCTTTCTTCACTCTGCTGTGATGTAATCACTTCCTGGAGCTTTCCCTGTTTTAATTCTTCATTTTATTTCATGTTTTATCTCAGAGACTCTGCCAGGTGGCCAGTCAGAGCATTGCTTCAGAGAAGGGCAGATGGATTTCATTACTACTCAGGGACCCCATAAAATAAAAGGGAAATACTTGTTATTATTACTTTATGCTTTATTTTCAGGAAGAAGAGCAGGACAAACGACTTTTTAAGACTCGGGGGCCAGAACGATTTGGCCAAACCCACGGCCTCCTTGGCGGGACCGCAGCAAAATACCCTCAGCTGCCCTTGACTTCCCCTGCAATACGGCGGCGTCAGGCCCCGTCCATGAGGCCACCAGGCCTACAGCCCCAGGACCCACTCACCTCTGCCCTTCTGCCCCCTCGCGGACCAGCCCTGCCTTCTCAGCCAGCCACGAGGGCCTCAGCCTGGATTCAGTCACATCTGGCGGAGCAAAATCATCTGCTTTGGGAGAGGTTGCCTGTTGTATCTCTGCATGAATTACTGTCCTGGGCCAACTGGTTTCCTTCCATTTATGAACCACAGTGAGAACAGCAACTCATGCAGAAAAGCAACTGTTTTTTCCCCTGGGTTACATCTTCAGGGTTTGGCATTTATCAAGGTATCATGATCAAAGTGAGCTCAAATAATTAGGACACAATGAGGAAAGAGAAACCCAATTGTTTATCAACATTTGAATAATTCTTTTTTCAACAGAGGGTTAAAGAAAAGGACTTTTGAACAATCTGGTCAAGTTTTCTGGAGTTTGTTTTGCCTAAGGAGAACATTTCCAGGCATGTTTCTCTTTTATTTTATTTTTCTTTAATGTTATACTATAGATGAACTTTTAATACTGTTAATTCAAACCATACTGTTTGAATTAGCATTCGTATGACATTGGAAAATGAATTTAACATTTACATTTCTGTTGGTAGGTTATGATGTTACCAGCATTCTTATGTTTCTCTGAAAAGCAAAAAGAAAGAAACAGAAAAACAAAAATAATGGCTTTGTAAGCAGATAATTCTTCCAAACTCTAAACACTGGTTCTACAAGTGAGATCATCTCCATTTAATTCAGCAAAGTGTGACTCTAGTAACAGGCATTTGGAAAACTGAATTGAAATTGCGTGCGAGCCAGAAAGGAAGGAAACTTGCTGAAAGCAACATATTGTGGTGATGGTGATAGCACCAGCAGCAGCAGCAAAATTCTCATACCGAACCAAATTCCATAACTTTTAAAATGAACTCTTTCTTTGACAATTCTGCCCCATCAGTGCTTTCAGGAAGGAGGGGGGAGCCCCTTTCCCCATCACAGCTCAGAGAAACGGAGTAGCTCCGTCCAAAGGAAATGAAGTCCAAGTTGGAAACAGCCCAAGTATGCGAGCAGAGCAATAAGTTAATGTAAATAGTTTCTGTTTTGCAAACTGAACTCCAGCAGATGATATTGGATGACTATAAATTTTATGGCAGAGTGCATTTAATAATGTGTGTGTCTCTGAGTGTGTGTGACTGAGAGAGAGAGAGAGAGTCAGGATCCACACCGTGTCTAAACACGGAGTACAGCGCTCTGGCAAGCTTTCCTACGCCAATAAATTCCTTCGGCAGAGGCCGGTCGGAGGCCACAGAACATACCTCCAGTCAGCTGGGCCACGAAAGACAAATCGTTCCATGATGCCGATTGAAGCCCAAAGGGATAAAGCTACATTTACCAGCCACAACGTACTATTAAGACTTGTTTCAAAGCAAGAACCAGTCCAAATGTTTTCTCCTTGTTCCCTCAAAGAACAGCAGGACTACATCACCCTCAAGGTTGTATTTCTGAATGTCCCCCCGGCTCTGTAAAAGGCAGACAGGGACACACCACCCTTACTAAAGCAAGTGAGGTGCCCTCCCCAGCACGGGTAACAATAAAAGCTTCTAGGCAGCTAATGACTATCCAACGTCAACATTTGTTCCTGGGTCTGACGTTTTGCTGGAAATAGGCCTGCTGAATTCCTGAATTTCGCCTGCCTCCATTTGAGCTCCCTGGGTACGTAAACTGCAACTCCATTAATATGGTAAATAAGTTGAATCAGTTGATCAGCAATGCGTTAAGCAAAATTTCACATCGAAAGTACAGAACACCTCGGTTGTATTGTCAAGACGCAGCACAATTTTTCTGCATAGTAAGACAGACCCATATTATGATCAGAATCACAGCCCAAGTGGACAATCCACTGGGTTAATGTACACAACGGATTAAAATAAAATACCAGATCACACATTAAAAATTCAGTAATCAGCAGATGATTGGAGAGCACCGGTTTGCAAAATGGCCTGCTGGCTGGCCCCCCTCGAAAGCCAGGGAGTCCCGCCACAAGAGGCTCTTCTCTGGAGGGACGGCCTTTTGGCACCGCCATCCGCTGCCCCCCGGCAATGCCACAACCACTTCTCAGAGCACTCACTTCCCTGTTAACCACTTAGACACTCCTCGGGCTGGGAGCCACCACAAAAGGAAAAGTGCGGCTGCTTAGCCCATCTCCTCCTTAACTACAGTAACAACACAAATGTGGTGCGTTGCCCTTACAAATGTTGTCAGCAAATACATTCTTAACAGCGCAGCCAGTGGTCGAACCAACAATGGCACTATTTATTCTTGTTAATTTCAAATTCCAAAGGAGACAGGCTTTACTATGTTCCTTCTTATTCTTTCATCTGCTATTCTATGCTTTTAACCCTCGAGCAGTTTTGACATAAAGTTGCTTTGAGCTATAGGAAACAGATGCCAGAGAACCTGCATTAAAATATTCCACTTAATCAGTTCCAGCCATATGAATTACTTACCTCATCTCCAATCACAAGTTCTTCCCTGGGACTGTGGAAAAGATATTCGTAGAGTGCATAATGCTGGAATAAACTGAAAGACAAGGAAGTGGAGATGGTTTGCTGAACAGCGCGTTTCCAGGAGCGCACAAGGTTCATTTTCGTTTTAAAAAGAGGGTCCTAAGCCCCTAAAGTTCTAGCTAGCTTTGATCATCCATACCTGGTTTTGTTCTCATTCCCTGTAATAAAACCCTGTGGGGAGATCACAATTTCCACTAAATGCAGAACTAAACGTGCAGCAGAAATTGTATAGAATTGTGGGTGACAGACCCCAGACATGGGGACATCTGCATTCGCCATTCTGAGTTCAGATTTTTTCCACGCAAAATTGAGCCCAGAGTAAAAACAGTCTATCAGAGGAGGCACCTCCCAAACCAGACCCAGATCAACAGTACTGAGGTTTTTGAATATTACCACAACGTTACTTCTGATCCCAGAATTCATTAAATCTGTGCAACTTGCACCACTTCAGACATCTCTGTCCTTGGTTCCTCATCATGGTCCAATGCCTGCCCCACCGATGGCTCTTCTGCCGCCCTCCTGTGCTTTGTGGATAGGAGGCATTCTGAGCGGCAGCTGTTGCCCCAGCCACGTCCCAGCCACAAGAAAAGACGATGACACCACAGTGCATTAGCCCCGTTGGCAGAGACTCATCGACAGTTGGAGAAAAAAAATCTCTCTTGCTTGGACGTGCTGATAGAAGGAAGCAGCAACTACGGCCTGCTATTTCAGTACCATAATATAATGTTTTTGTAATAAAATTGCCAATTCTGCAGTCGAAAGAAGCCACCACTTCTACTGGGGGCCCAACTAACCAAGACTTCATAGCCATTTTTCTTAAACTACGTTCAGTAAGACACCAGTGTTTCCCAAAGAGTTTGTTCCATGAATTGTTTGCACATCTAAAGAAGTTTCTTGCTAAGTTTTGAATCCATTAAATCCCACTAGCCATGAGTGGGATGTTTGCAAAAGTCAGGTCTAGGACTCTTAGATCAACCTTTCTCAGAGGAGATGAGTTTTAAAGTGAAGAAATACAAGTATCTTTTCTCTCAATGTACGTTTTCAAACTTTGCTAACGCCAAGGCCAAATATCTAAACAGGGTGAATGTTACCTGACTCTGCAGCTTTCTTTAATATATGTGACTCCAGATATGGATTAAATATATTATATATGAAGCTAATATGTTCCATTAAGATTTATAACCATCTATTAAATGAAAGGAAAAAAATGGAAGATTTTAAAAACTGGTTCTATTCTATATTTCTTTTATTTATTTCTTCTCTACTTTTAAAAAAAGACACAGTGATAAATGCATCTTATTAAAAATATATTGTTTAATCCTTTCTAGTCATGAATAGTTTTAAGAAACAAAGACTTCCACTGCCTAAAAATCTTGCAGGCTGTCACACAGCATTCAGCCTCTTCAGATGGACTGGGTATGTTTTGGAGGCCAATGCAGCCTTCTGTATATTAACAGCTTAGTCTTTCTCTCCATCCCATACTTCAGACACCTCAAGGGAGCATTAGTTGTTTTAATTAATGCCTATTAATAAATTGATTCCTAAATGGCTTGCCAGGAAACCGCAAGGTACGGAAATCTTTGGAGAGGTCCAAAGACCAGGAAAAAAAGGGGATACGAGGACATTCTTTCAGGTACGACACCCCGGCTCCTCAATAAAAGACCCTCCACCAAAGGGGAATTAGAAAGAGCAACTGTCCTCACAGCAAAGTGCAGAACAGTTCCTTCCATAATCTAAGTTCCCAGGCTCTTTATTCCCTTTTCCAACACTACCTCCCCTCGAGGAAGCCTTGCGGCGTTAGCGTCGAGAGTGCCAGTGTCCTAATACCACACCTGTCCCTACCACGGAAGAGGGCTGGGGGGAGTTCAAGAGGAGCCGCGGCCCCTGGCCCCGGCAGCAGCTTGAGGGGTGCAGGTGCCCTTGGCCAGGCTGCAGATTTAAATTTGGCTGCAGGGGTGATGCTCCCCCCTCGGGGGACGTTTCTCCAGCCGCGGTTTCTCATCCTGGTCTGCTTCACGAAGCTGCTGAGATGGTAAAAAACTAGATACCTTGGAGGGAAGGTGGGGCATGGGAATAAATACATTTTAGTGGAAAAAGGCGAGAACCTTGAAATGGAACAGTGCCGTTTCCAAGGTGCCAAGAATTCGCCGTCGCTTTGTCAGCCACGCTTCGCTGGCTGTGGAGAGTCTGGGTCGACCCCCTCAGGGTGGCCCTGGGATCTGGGCTCCTGTCAGGGGTGGCGGCGGGAGAAGAAGCGGACGCGTTGCCAGCTGATGACCGCCCTTGCTCCCTCTCGGCCCAGGCCGGTCACCCGGCTAAGAAATTACGCCGCCTGGGTGACACGTGGGTTTCTCCCGGCCTGAATAGGAGACAGTGGAATATACTTGGCGTACGTTCCTGCCGTTACTGACGGTGAGATTTTTGGCATAACGTGACAAATGATTACACATGTGAACAAGACAACAAGGTAGGCTTTTTCACGACACCATGCAAGCATCTGAAAGCGATAAATGCAGACAGATTTTCCTAGTTTAACTGTTTCCTGGAAGAAAAGGCCATGGAAGAGGCTGGTGTTGGGGTTCGCTTCAGGTGATACAAAGGGGGGCTGGGGGGAAGGGACAGTCACCAATTTGACCAAACCCGAACGCATCATCTGCCCTGGAAAGTGGGCATTTCTCCTTATTTTTTGTACAAGAACATTTCTCCACCAAAGCTAGAGGAAGGAAGAAATTCTGGATATTCTTGAAAAAAATACCTCCACTCCATGACTGGAAAGAGATCAAGAAAACCTCCTGGCCAAGGAGTCCTGCTGTTACTGCGCTCGCAAAAAGCCTGCACCAAGAGCGGGAGAACAACAGGCACGTCCAGAACGTGCTCTCCACACCCAAAGCTGGTGTCGTGGGACGGGGAGGGGATTCTCCTTTATTCTGCTTTCGGAAATGGGCTTGCGCTCAATATTTCTGGCTGAAAATGCCACTGACGAAGGGGAAGATTTACTGATTAAATTCCACCAGTATTTTAGCTTTATGCTGCTGTCTGAAAGCCAACCCACCTTTCATTTATCAAAGGTAACGGGCAGGGAAGGGCCACAGTCTTCCATTTCTGTTGGGGTCATCCGGCCAAGCCTTTTCTAGGCACTTCTGTGAGCTGAGACCCACCACCCTTGAGGGGCAGAAATTAAAGGGGGTTTCTCCCTTCTAGGCCAATATTAAAGGTTTGGTTTCACCATATCAGCTGTAATGCCCAAATGTGCTCTCTCACAATATCTTTTTAGAAGAAGTCTCACGTTCGCATGAGAAATATTAGGGTAATGCATATAAAAATTTAATCAGTTAATCAATTCATTAAAACCCTAATGATTAATTGATGGTTTAATCCGTTATCCACCTAAGGCTGTATAGCGATAAATGTATCTGCACAAGGCTTTCACGTGAGGGGAACGAATGCCACCAACTGGGCAACTGATACTCACTTTCTTTATTAGTGTAACTACGGGGGGTTCAGAGGGGCAAGGTGCCACCACCAGTGGAAATCCAAGGCTAATCCATTCACGGAACAAAAAACCGACCTACAGAAGTCCCTCACCAACCTCAGCTGGGTAACGCCCTGCAAGCACCGAATGGCCCCCTTCCCACAGCCTGCTGAAAGATACGGAAGCAAGTACCTGCTCTTCAGGTAATTGATGATGGCTTTGGCTTGTCCGACAGTGAAGAACTCAAACCCGCCACTTATCTCTGAATGAGCCTGCCCGATGCCAGCCATCGCATCTGCGAGTTCCTGGATGTTCTCTTCCAGGGTCATGTGCCGGGCTGCAATGCAGAATGAAGAACAGTGAACTCCTCCAGTTTCCCACGGCTGCAGAGTTCTCCTGATGCAAGCAAAGCCCTCCCCAGGAGCGGGGCCTGTAGGAGCAAAGCCTCCACACAAGCAATTCTGTGCATGACAGGCACTGGCGTCCATGGGACCAATGCTCTGGCTCACGTAAAAACTAACATGCACACTGAAGAAAAGCCTTGGCACACATAACCATCTGCACTTGACTTTTACATCATCCAGGATCTTGCCCGCAACAGGTGCAGAACTGTAGGCACCCACGGCTGAATGGGTAGATGTTTGCAGAAGGCTATCATTTAAGCGACAGTGGAGGGTGTGGCTTATCAGGATAAATACATACATACATACATACATACATACATGCATACATACATACAGGCATACATACTCCCAAGCATGCTGGGAAATTCCTGTGGTTACCCCTACATTTGCTTTATTCCTGCCTGGGCTCAAGGGAGGAATCAGCTCCTGATCTGGGTGTAAAAAGCAGGGCCAGACCTTGACCAAGCAGGATACAGCGGAGAGCGGCTTTCAGCGGACTGGAGGGTCCGTGCTGGCCAGGAGGTACATGAGTCGCCCTGCCTCTGAGCCGCCCACGTGAGTGAACAGTGCCTCGAGATTTAAGCTCTGCGGTTGCTCACTGGTGCAGATCGGGGTGTGGGTCCAGCATGACAATTCAGACACAACCATCAGGCTCAGGCCACACGCTGCACTGAGCTACCACATGGTTGATTTGGGCTTCCCAAAGCATTTGAGCCCAGCCATTGCGACTTGTAAACTATGATTTACAGTATGGTTAGCAGGCTGTGTGAATCCAGCCAATTATTCAATAAATTATGCCTAAACAAGCCATGGTTTAACATGAGCCATTAAACATGAGCCAGCAGTATGCCACGCCTGCCGCTTTGGGCTGCTTCAGCGGAGGTTATAGCGTCAAGATCACGGGCAGCGATAGTACCACTCTAGGCTGGACTGGTCAGGCCACTCCTGGACTACTGTGCCCCGTTCTGGTAGCCACCCTGTAAGAAGGATGCTGAGGAACTGGGAAGAGCGACAAAGATGGTGAGGGATTTGGGGGCTAAATCCAAAAATGGTTAAAGGAACATGGTCTGTTTAGACTAAAGAAGGAAGACTTCAGGGCAGTCTTCCAATACTTGAAGGTCTGTGGGTTTATTTTCCCTAGCACCGGAGGATGAGACAAGAAGCAATGGGTGGAAGCTCTTCAGAGGGAGATCCAACCTGGAAACAAGGAGGAATTTCCTGACTGTGAGAGCTGCGAAGCAGTGGGGCAGCCTGTCTCTGGAAGTCAAGAGGGCTCCAAAGCTGGAGGCTCTCAAGAAAAGACTGGACAGCTGTTTGTCCAGAATGGGATGAGGAGTCCTGCACTGGGCAGTGGGTTGGATTGGAAGACCCCCAAGATCTCTTCCAACCCTAGGATTCTATGATGTGGACACATCTGCAAAAAGGGAATTTTATCTTGGGCTGGGCCTCCTTTCAGGTTTCGCGGAACTTCTCAGCCCTTGATATCTCAACAGATGAGATGCTCTGGATGTCAAATGTTCTCATGATGGTCAGTCTGCAGTGATCTTAGACTGGAGGATCAGCCAGTGAGGCTTTGGCTCAAAAGGAGTTGAACGGTGCCCTTTCCTCCTGCCCACTGCAAAGGTCAGTTATCCTCTGCCTCAGCCACGGGGCAAAGAGGGGCTGGCCTGCCATACTTCTGGCCCATCTCCGAGTAAGTTGGGACAAGTTAGATCTAATGCAGCAGCCTGACCTCAGCCAAGAGCTGAGAAGCAAGTCTTTAAATTGCGTGGATTTGTTCATTCAGTCTAAATGGATATATACAAAGGAGATGTAAGATGATGTTTTAATAAACTAATTTTAAAGTAAACTCTCAGAATATAAAGCAGATGTGAGCAGCCAGAGATGCTCCAAGCTCTTTAACCTAATGGGTATATTCTTGTTTGAATCTCAAGAATTCAGCAACCATTGAAAGATGTTTTTATCCCTCCTGATTCGTCAGATAAATTGGAAGATGAAATGTATTACAGCCACAATACTGTTTCCCTTATTGCTGATAGAGATGCTCTGATACTTTCCATTATATTACAGTTAATGCTGAGATTCATACATTAACAAAATTATACACGTCATTTTAAAAATACAGTTCATTTTGTATATGCCATAGCAACCCTTTTTTGAAAACAAGCACCAGAGTGATTTTGACTTTCCATCCATGGTTCCAGATGGGCCTTCTTCAAAAGACAAACACCACAGATAAATCCTAATCTATTACAGACTTTTCAATTCAAGTGCCAAAATGCCTTGTCACAAATTCCTTCATACGGGAGACAACTATCTTCTAGGAGAAATATCAGTTTTCACTATGAAATGATGCCAAACTGCCTTTGTCAAGGGCCGGCTAACCCGTGTCATGCAATTCTGGCTTTGCTTTTGCTAGAACCCCAGGAGAAAGACCGACGCGCCTGACGCTGGCCAAGCACGAGTGCAAACAGAGGACTTGCTGACTGGAAGGTAACCCTCTCCTGGGCGAGGGGATCCAGGGAGGGCAATCTGTGGGGTCTGAAGCTGCACGACCCTGCGGGCTGAACTAACCACGGATAAGAACCTATGTCTGTTTGAACTTTGAAATATCTCAGCAGCAATCTGGTTAGACCTTCTATCTTCTTTTGGCCTTTTTGTGGCAAGCGAATTTAAGATTCAAGAGCAAATTAAGGTCAGCACAAACTGTGGTTTGCAAATCAGTATTAACTGGATTCATACCCTGGAATGCCAGCTCTAAACAAATCATAATTTGTGGCCAGGTTCAGATCTTAAAATAAGACATTGTTTAGCTTAGATGTAAGCAACTTCTGAGGAGTCAAAGTCCCCAAGTGAGGCAGGAAGCCATCTGGGGACAGGGTGGGGTCACCGCTGGAGGCATGCTTTGAGGACAGGGGCTGATGTTTATTTAATGTAGCTGTACACCACTTCCCATTATTACAAATTCAAAGAGGTTGGAATGTGAGCAAACTTCCACCGCTTCCACCCACTATGGGGAAAAGCCTCTTCTGGTAGCCTCCTCTTCACTCCAGGAGCCACAACAGAAAACAGTATACAAATACAAGAGGTAAATAAACATATTGTCCTTTCAATAACAGCAGCTTAAAGGTAAAACTACAATTTTCTGGGGCTGGGGACATCCCAGAACAACCTCAACCCTAATATACTTGTCTAATCAAATGGAAAATGTCAATTCCTGGAATACAACTGAACTTACTCTCCAGATTATCCAGCAGCAAATTTAAGAGAGCCAGGAACCCTCCAAGCTGCACAGACGAGAACTCTAATCCTCGGGCCCACCAAAATCCAGAGACGTAATAATCCAGTAATGCAGCTTCTTTCAAAGATGTCAACCGGTGCTTCAGATTCAGAAACTCTTCCATACTTCTGTAGTTGAAAAATGTGGTTCATGAAAATCAGGACACAAAACCACATTAGTCTATGTAATTGTGCCAATTTACTTTCAGAAGGGCAGAACAATGAGACACATTTTGCAAAACCAGGAATGGGTGGCAAGTGGATGGCCCTCCGAACCATGGAGAAAAACCAGTGCCAGAAACTTAACCAGCACCTCCAATTCAGCTGCTTCTGGAGGACCAGATATTCCCCACATGGGTTCTCTGGCTGCATATGAAACAAGATCATGGAATTTCTGGAAATGTTTTAGTGTTACAGCTAGGCAGGGTCAATATCCATAACTAAACCCACACTGTATTTGTACCAAAAACTAAATAATATTTTCAAAGTTGATACTAATGACATTTACAGCTTATGGAGTAGAAAACCGGAAGATCTGATAATGGAACATGAATGGTTGCAGGTCTTAAAAATGTCAAATTTGCTTTATTGGATTTGAGATTAAAATTGATTCATCAAAATATTTTATTCTGAGCTGACTTGACAAAGAAAACATTTGAAAGGATGGAACATCAGATTTTCTTTGTGGGTGGTGCAGACAAAGGAGGCCTTCTTGCATTACTCCTCCCTGAGCATCACTTAGATGGTCTCATCTCGAGACCTAACCTGGGCCAAAGCCACCGAGGGCCTTTGAGACCGACTTGGAAACCAAGGGATAGGTCTACGGACTGTGGAGCGTAGGGCAATAGGGCTCTGTTCCTGGATCAGGGATGAAGAATGACACCGCAAACCAACCGAAGTCCCGTCTCCTTTTGAAAGGGAAGCCCCATGAAGAACACACACGTCACAAGAGCCCAAGCCACAGTATTCCACCCCACACACACCCCATACGCAAGCGGCCCCAGCTGCCGTCTCAACAGATGATAACAACAGCAAGATCTGTTGATGTTCCAGCAAACTTACTTCTGAACTCCTGCTACGTCTTGTTCCAACATAATGCTAACCTCAGCCAGGGAAAGAAAATTCCAAGCCATTGCGTCTTCGTCTTTATTATTTTTTTCTTCATCCTATAGCAAAACAATGAATTACAGTATAATAGCATTCACACACAAACAATGCATTCAATCTCAAGGATTTTTTTTTTAAATCAGTGCATAAAGAGAAACTATGGCAACTGTCAACACCAATTTAGCTGATTTGGAACAGGAGCAATAACAGGCAGATAAGAGAAGAATAATTTGCCTTGCATTTGCAAATGAATTATTATTTTTTAGATAATTCAATGCAGCAGAGCAGAAATTCTTATTTTTGCTAGATCACCGCTGGCCCTCGGCCAAATTTCAAACGCACCCTGCAGGCCCTCAGCCAGACCTCCAGCAACAGCTCTCAGTTCCTCCTCCTGCAGCCACCAGATGGGGACAGAAAGGGGGGTGGGTGCAAAATTTCAAAAGGCAAACATTATGTTCTTGTAGTTGCAGTATTGTTTCTGGTAGCTTTTAGGAAAATTCTATACACGCCTCTCAACATGCCAGAATCAGAATCAGGGATGTGGCTCTGCAGCACACCGCGCATTTGCTTGTTCTCTCTAACCCAAATCCAGCCTGCTCCCCGTTGCCTGCAGGGGCCGCTTCTGCAGAGCCGCTCTCGATGTGTTGGCAGCTCCACCGGCCAAGAACATCGTGCCGAGGGCCAGGGCAGCCCCGGGAAGATTAGGGATGGCTGTCCTCAAAGGTGCCCGGGGCCACACGATGCACAGAGCTGGGGGCACCCTGCCTTTCTTGGCCACTGCCACAATGCCAGCCTGTGCAGGGAGCGTGTGGCTGCAGGGCGGCCATCCTGCAGGTCTGCTGCAGTCCAGCCGGACCCAGATTCCTTGTGCAACTGCTGCTTCTTTGCTAGTTTTCTTACGGATGAAGCTACTGTCCTCTTCCGCAAGGGCATTTATTCCTCCCTCACCCCCAACTGGAAAATGTAGCCCTTCCTCCTCATCAGCATCGCAGCTCTTCCTCTGAAGCGGCCACCTGGAGACCACCTGTTTGCCTCTGTGGAGCCCCAACGGGACATCCCGCACCCACTGAAGAACAGCCCCAGAAGGGACAGTGCTAACCGCCACAACATTTTAAGCTAAGCGAGTCCTCTGCTGAAGCAACCGCTCCCCAAATCCACACTTTACCTTTCCTTGTGCTTGAGTGCCTCTACAGTGTTAGATCTGGCTAAGCATCTCTCTTTCATAACAATACATTTGTCACTGACTTAGATGGCAGGGAAAGCATGCCTGCTCCATTCATGCCCCGAGTGCTCCAGTCACACCAGATATCACTGAAATGCCGGGGGCCGCCTGGATTCAAAGGCAACAAGGGACCCCGAAGGGTGCAGGAGGCTCACCCAGCTCTGCTGGACACCTCTTAAGCACCTTTCCTGGGATCACACGGCCTGTGTGACCTGGAACAGAAACCTTTATTTATCTATTCTATTCTATTCTATTCTATTCTATTCTATTCTATTCTATTCTATTCTATTCTATTTATTGTATCTATACAGCCGCCCATCTCACACAAAGTGACTCTGGGCGGCCTACAACAATTAAATTATTTAGTAGATTTATACGGCTGCCCATCTCAAATACATGACTCTGGGCAGCTAACAATATTAAAAATTATTTTTGAAAATTATTTTTAAAAATCCTTAAAATATATAGCACATCCAGGAAAAATTACAGACGCAAGAATCAAACACTCAGCACAGCCAAGCAAGGGGCACCAGGCCATGTCGTCCAGACCTTGCGGAAAGCCGACAGCAGCGGGGCCAACCTGATCTTCAGAGGGGTGATACTCCAGGGGGTGGGGGCCACAACAGGAAAGGCCTTCTACCTGGCCCCACCAGCCCAGCCCAGCCCGCCTCCTCAGCCAATGGACCTGAAAGGCTGCCTCCCGCTGGATCGGATGGGACAGACAGAAACCGCCAGGGAGCGACAGGCCCGTAAATAACCCGGGCCCAGGCCATGAGCTGCTTTAGAGGGGACCACCAGCCTCTTGAAGTGCACCCAGAAGCAAGCTGGTAGCCGACGCAGCTTGCGGAGCGGTGGCGTCACATGCGCTGAGCAACAGACGGGCACCGCTAACTGCTGATGCGGCTGCAGCCTCTGAGCGCTCTTCAAGGGCAGTGGGCTGCAGTAGTCCAGTTGGGAGGTCACGAGGGCAAGAGGGACCTTGAGTAGGGGCTCCCAATCCAGAAACGAACGGGGGCAACTGACGCACAACCTGAAGCCGCGCAAAGGCCCTCCTAGCCGCGGCGCCACCTGCTTTGGTTTTGGAGCAGCAGCGAGGGGTCAGGCGAGCCCCCCAGCAGTCAGATGCCCGTTCTCCCTTCCTCTCTCGAGCGCTGCCCACCCCGTTCAATGCCTCGGTCTGCCCAACCATCTTGGCACAGATCAGGCAATGAGAAATCTTTTCCTGCCGGTTGCGCAGAGCGCGCACGAGAGAGGCAGGCAGGGAGGGAGGGAGGGGCGGTTCTCACGGGGCGCCCCATCCTGTCCCTGCAAAGGCCCTGCCGGGCAACGCAGCTGCTCAAAAGCAGAAGGGGCTGGGGAGCAGCC